TAATAAAATAGATACACTTATTTAGGTGATGTTAGTGACTTTCACTGCCAGTCTACTTTCCAAATGTCATGCATTTTGGATGACATTTTTGCAGTCCTGCCATGCATCCCTGCTGAGTTCTCATGCACTGAACTCAGCCCGATACCAGGAAAGGCTGCAGACAGTTTTGTCTTGCACCAAACGCAGCAAAGTCTGGCTTTGGTTAAGGGAGCAGCCCTTTATAAGCTGGTCCAGGCTATCCTTTCAGAATAGAGCAGGAGCAGCAAGTGGGAAGAGGAAATGATGATGAAGCAAATTGAAGGATAAATCAACTGCGAATACAGAGGCCAAAATTCAGTCTTGATCTTCCCCAGCCAACTGGAGCAGGCCTGTCCCAACAGGCTAACGGAAAGAACGACCAGGCAGCCTCAGCAACACAAGAGCACCAAAGAGCAGCACTTATCTTCAGAGCACCTCAGAAACTTATCATGCAGAATACCTCCCTGCCTGCCCCACACAACCCCTGCTGCATCAGAAATACTCAACAGCAGCTCCACAACTTCCCTGCCATCCTGTTCCAGCTACCACGTTTTGTCCAAGTCGTATGCTTTTTCTCTACACTTCAGGCAGAGAATTTTACCAATACTGGCAAAATTACATTGTACTTTTTAGTACACCGCTAAGGCATTAAGCAATTTTGCACATGCTCCAAACAGAATGGCAGAGAAGTTGCCAGGTACAAAAGAACAGAAATAGATCCTAGAACTTCCTGAAATAGAAAAGTCATTCACAATTGCGACATACAATAAAAAACTTTTCTACCACCCTATCTCTGGAAATACACGCGTTAAATACAAAGACTTAAATTATTCTTTAAACTGCATATCTGTATAGTATAAGCCACCTGCAACTAATTAATTTAATATGCGTTCTGGTAAAAGACAATAGCATAGCTGAAATATTTGACTGTTACTGATTTTATCCGTCTTATCCAGGGGCCCTGCTGCCCCTTGGGGGTCTGTCACCCTGCCTTCTGACAGTTCTCAGCTGCGATATAGCTGCACAGCTGCAGCTTGGAGGCTTGTGCTGTGACACTCACTGGACTCTCCAAGCTCTAAAATGCTTTCATCTCCCTGACAAAGAAAAATGTTCCACTGCAATTCACTTGTAGATCAGCAAGTCTTCCTAACATACCGTGCACCAGTCAAATAGCCTTTACACATGAATGTCTCCATTCAGGGACAAAACCCCTCCATTCATAATTCATAAACAAAACCCCTTGTAAACAATGTACTACGAATTCCTAGACTTACGGGTATTAAACCAAAGAACACAACTCAGACATCAATACATCGTAAAATATATTATTAAAGAACATAGGCTAAAACACATTGGAATTTTTGAGTGAAGATGCTTAAAATCTAACCTATGTTCAGAAGGTCTTTTTTTATATCTAAGTTGTTAAGAGACTGAAGTATCTGTGCTAATGAAATCCTAGGCAAGATGACAGGTAACCAGATGCAAAACACCAAGAAAAGTGCTTTTTAAAGGAATCTGAACATGAGTACCTAAACTATTAACCAATTACATACAGCAAGACATCAGATTTCACTTTTGTGAAGGCTTTTACTTCCGGAACTAGTCTACTCTCAGTATTGAGAACAGCTCATCATCCCTTCCCCTCAAATTTCACAACGACTTCCAAGTTTCCCATGAATGTAAATATTGATACGTAGAAATTGTTGGTAAACAAGTTACTTAGACTTTCTCATCCTTGATTATACACTTCTGATGGTGATGGAGGAGAAAACCTACGGCATCATTTTGTTTGTGCTGATGAGAATTAGCTGAAGAGGTTTTTTTAAGGCATAATTTGGCAGCTATTCTTATATCAGGGGAAACTTTTTCAAACCCTTTGGAGACAAAGTAAAATAAATCACTCCTCTAAGACCAGCCATATTTCTTAGAGCCCTGCATGCCATCAACAATACTGTGGCATTGAATGGGTGGCAAGCTATAGCTCAGTTATTTCTCTGTTTCCTTTTCAGCACTGATGCACACTGCCATGTCTATGAGGACAAGCAAAGATAAATTAGCATCATTATTTCTTCTGGGCAACACAGTCTGCTTATCTTCTTCAAAGGCAGCTCTCAGTTCAAATGATATGCAAAGAAGACTGTGCTGTTTCACTTGACAAATTCATTGGTCATAATGTTAAAGATACACTATGGGGAAAAGGCAGCATATCTTTTTACACTTCCCATCACCTTATCTGACATATCCCTGTTTAATCGTGATACTTGGCTTACTAGTAACATTTTCAAGAGTCCTTATGCCCTCCCCACTTTCCATTTCTGCAAGAAGAAAATACAGATAAGGTACAGAAAATCAGCATACAGTCTTTATAAACCAGACTGAAATACAGCATCAGTGGAACTTAGGGGGTTGTTTCACCACATACCCTCTGGGTACTTGTTATTAATATACTGGAAGGCTGGGGAGAATCACCAGTAGCATTCTAATTGACCCTTGGGTCAGTACACTAGGCACTCAATAGTACTTAATTCCAGAATTTGCTTTTTGTTTAGCATATCTTTAATTATAATTTCTCTTTCCCTTGCAGCTAAAACTTTTAATGGCATTAATAAAAGCAGTGACAAGAATCTCTATACACCCCACAGAACATCTTCAGCAATTCATAAAGCTCCAGAAAAGGAATGCTTCTTTCATGACACATACATACATGAAACCCCCAAAAATCCTAAAATAAAAAAAACCCCCAACATTTATACAGTACCTTCCCAAATATTTTCAAAAAGACAGAATTATACTGAAATATACAAATGAAACAGCTACCAGTAAAATGAAATTATATCAATTTTTAGCTAGAAATAGAAATCCACTTAAAGAAACTCTTAGACCTGAACATTTCATTTTTGGTATTTCTAAATCTGGAATGCTAGATAGTCAAAATCCTCCTCACTGGTTAGCTTAATTCTGAAAGCAGGAGCTAAATCATAAGCACACTGAATGAGATACTACCAGGCAAGCCTCTGGTATAAATTTCCCATACACAGTTCTACCTGCAACATCCTGAGCACCACAAACAATCCCAGGAATCTGAACTGGGCAGAAATCAAACATGACCTATATTATGTAGGCCGTTATTCCAGCTGCAGCCTTTTGAACAGACTGAACAGTGCCAAAACACTGCATTGACAAATTATATTGGGACAGATGCTCTAGCTCATCCTGCCTTTTAAATAAATTATAAAAATAATTTAACCACATTTATGCTACCCAACTATCTATGATCGAGGCAGCTGTTCTAATAGGCACCGATTAGAGGCAGTTGCTAGAAATGTACCAGAGGAATAATAATTAAATTACTTGTAGCTAAGTCTGGCTTCACCTGTAACACGTATTTTTCCTCTGTCATCCCAGGAGGCTTCTGTTCAAAGTCCGAGTTTATACTCTCTGAATGGAGGTAAATTTTCCTTAAGTGCAAAGCTACTTAACTCAGGCATCAAGGGGCTTGGAAAGGGGGACAAACCCCATTAAAGGGTTTCAAATGTAGTGTTTTGTTGCAAACTCTAGAGACTCTAGTTTTGTTCACAGCTATGTTAATGCTTTAGTACTTAACACCTTTTATTCTCAAAATGTTACTGAAATATGACTCCATGTTTCTATATGGAAAACATGGCCATTATGGTTTTTCATCTGTTCCCACCCAGGGGGAAAAAAAAAAAAAAAAAGTGTAAGAAAAATGACACTTCATATTGAATTTAGTAACCTGGAAAGAACATGAGAAGTCTCTCTCTCTTCAGAGCACAGAAGAAAACTAACTGCTGTCGACAAGGAGTACAAAGACTGTTGCTGTGAATTAGTACACATCTTTCAAATGTACCTTCTCTTACGTGTTTCATTAAACAGAGGATTCAGGGCTGCAGACAACCACATGGGAATTCAAGCTGCAGTAGTAACTTTTAAGACATTTTTATCTTCAGCTTGAGCTGTCCTGAAAAAGTAATACTGACTAATTAAATTCATGTAGTACAATACAGAGTAAAGCCATGAATGTTTAGGCTTATCCAAGTACAAAATGTTAGTATTCACGTAGCAGTGGTCTTCCAATAGCTTCTTAGACTGTCACACTTGCTGCTGTCACATTTCCAATGACAATCATGACCACTAAATGTAATTAAAATAGTTGTTTCTGCATTTCTCCTGTGTTCCCTTTTGCAAATCAGGCGAATACATTGTTTAATTTTCAAAATAACAGAAAGTGCAATGGGACGGTTTTGTTGACGCTATCTTTTCATGCAGACAATTCCTAAAGTGAGATCATCTAATCACTGTTTAACTTACAACTCTATAAAGCCACCATCTATAGAAATAATATTTTTTTTTTAATTTAACTTGCCCAAAAATTCAGCTGAGTTGTTTTAAATTTCTAGTCCAACTGAGGCAAGAGAACCATGAAAGTTCAAAAGAACCTATGCACTCAGTAGGTCCTTTCAGTAATTCTCAACAGCTGCTAAAAAGTGCATGAGTACTAAGAGCACACCATTCCTTTCAGCTGCTTACAAATATTTGAGCAGCCCTTAACTCTGGTGAATATATAGTATCAATGTATGTCTTAAGTCCATTTTACTGGTATTCTAATACAAAGGTAACTATTTAAAAATCAAAGTTAATTCTTCCATAAACACCACAGATGCCCCTCCAGTTCTTGAACTCTCAGAGCTCATGCAGTCTAGGAGGATGGACCGGTAGTATTCCAACTGGCTAGTTTCCTCTCCTGTACGGCTGGCTAAAACCTGCTGTGAAAGCTTAAAAATACAGAGAAGCAGGGAAAAAAAAAAAAAAAAAAAATTGTGTGTGCTCTCTTTAGGAATAAATATGTCAATCATACGACCTTCCATTTGAAGGCTCAAGCTGCTCAAGGCAGTGTGTTGCTAGGGAGAAGGCTTTCTTTGCTATTTATTGAGCTTTCTTTACAGCTTTTAGGGAGCGGCCAGTGCTTATTTTCCAGAGACACAAGCGAGCACTCGGGGCTGCCCGGCGGAGGCTGGCACGAAGGGCCTTGAAGGAGAGCCTCTTCCCCTGGGAGCTCCACCGCTGCGTCCACCTGACTAACCAACCACATTCTCCTACTCACAAACAGAGCTGTAACCTGGGGCTGTCTTGTGGGCAAGTAACCCCTCCTTCCTGCCCCCCAGGGGAAAGGAGTGGAGTCCCTCAGGGATCAGTG